CCAATTAGTCTTCCTACCAATATGACCGAGGTGTGAAAACAAGGTCAAACAACTTCTATACAACGAAAGGAGACTGCGGCTACACAAAAGGCCACAACATCTTGGTCTTCATACCTTCACATAGTCTTGCCTTCCCAAAAGTTGATCTCATCCAGACAGAAATGGACTGCTGTTTCAACCTGGCATCGGTCTCATCAACACTCCCAGCGGGAGTCAAACCGTGACAGTGCGGTAGATAATAATATCTACACGTTAAGCAATACGCCACATTTCGACGAGTGCTCTTGAGTTACAGGGCAGATGTGCATTTTATATAAAGGCCAGGCATTTTCCAATATCACATTCCGTATTTGGATTGTCGATAAATCAAGGTTATATTTGCTATTAAAATCGACTACATTACTTATCTTTCATTTATAAGCAGTTTCGAGACTACCAGTAAATCACTTATATGAGATGTTGATAAGACCTAGGTGAGGTCTAAACAGCCGTCAAACCTGGATGAAAACAACTTTTTGGAAAGTAAGGCTATGTGAAATTTAATGAAAAGTTGAGCTCTACTCATAGCATTGTAGGAAAATTCAACTACCCGTTCTTCTTCACCTCAAACGAAATAGGTCGAATACATGTCACATAGTTGATTTACTGGTTGTCTCGAAACTCTGGTTATAAAAGATGAATGTATATATAATAAAAACTACTACACAGTCGGTGTTATCATCCTATTCTTGGTGTAAGAATTGCTAATCTGATCAACGTGGCATGATTTTAGCTACTAAATGAACTATACGTTTCATTAATTAGAGATAATAAGACAAGGATGATTATTTGCAATAGTATGAAATTATTTCATTTTAATTGCTTACTAACGTATTTAGGCTCCTATATGGGCTAACAAATGTTTTACTTTACATTCGTTCGCATTCGTATACGGCAGAGGTAATGCTGATTAAAACATGGTGGTAGAACATATGAATTTGGTTATTTTGGCTAGCAAGTGATTATATGTTGCGTTTAGAAGGATAGGGTGGAATGAGTTAAAAATGAGATATTTTGGCAAAATCTCAATAACAACTTATAACATATCGAGGCTAGTATAGAAAGCAAGGACATACTATTGACATTGGAGTTTAGGAGCTTATTATTTTGGAGAGTAAGGAAGAGACTCTGCTCATTTGAGATTTTACATGGTTAGAGTGGAATGAGCCAAAACTCAACTCATTTCTCGACATCTTAGGATGAGATGCTGGCCCACGATAACTCCTTCATGATATGAGTACATTTTTCATCCCCTCGAGAAGCTGTTTCATGGACGCTTCCAAAGATCACCCTAATCGCTATGGTAGCAAAATGATCAGCTGATAAATCAGTGCCAAAGTTTAGGCTGCATCGTCTGACTACTGTGACAGGAAGACTTTAATTCGACTGTGCTAAGACCAAATTGAGGATAGCTCATGTTTCTTTGTATCATACGGCGGACGATCGTAACTTTAAGATCACATACATCCGTTTGCCCTATGACATTGAGCTCGGAAAGTCAACAGCGACATTTCTTTAGTCATGCTAGAATGATTAGCGAAATGGGTGGATATAAAATTGTCTGAATCTCTCATGACAGCCTTGTTGTTTATGAGCGTGAAGGAGGCAATGTAGGATACCATTATATGCAAAAAATGGAGTTATATGCGTTTGTATGCATTTTTTTCATGTCATTCTCAGTCTTTAGGCAGACTTGAGCCGCAAAGCAGTCAATCCAGCAAAACCTATGAGTCCATGCGGTCTTCAAACAGGCCCGTGTCACCGTTCACCGATCAACCGACTTCAGAGAATTTCAGCCTCCCTGGAGGTGGGACTGTCCAGCAGCCTCTCTCTCTTCCAGGCTCCGTTGCTAGCGAGACAAAACGAGATCATCAGAGCGTCTCAAGTCCCAAATTCCAAAAGCCGCCGAGCCCGCAACTGACCGACGATAGACACATTCAGGTATACAAATGGCCCAGTTCCACGGATCCGAGTCAAAATCTCCACTCGCCGCCTGAACTCGAGGAAGAATCAAGACCAACAAAATCGGCCCACTTCGCCTCGGAGTTGACGACTCACACGAGATTTGCCAGACATGCGTTGAGCATCGACGCTCTCGAGCGTGTTCTGGAGCAAAGTGGCGACGACTCTGGCTGCAACGACTTGCGTGGCAACCATTGCCATGCTGACGAAAGGTTGGAGTTGACGACAACATGCGCACCCTCTTCAACACATCTCGGTAATAGGCGAGAGCGCAAAAAAGCTGAGGGTGACAGCGGAGTGGGCCATGGTACCGGTGATCAGAGCTCCGACAGCCAAAGCGACTGCGGCGACCTGATCCTGGTCGGCGGGGTAGAAACAACCGCTGCCTCGGTATGTCACGAAAACGGCCACCTTGGTGATGACCACCTTCTGGTGTCCCTTAGACACCACGAGTCCAAATCGGCCTCGACGACTGCCAGGCCGTCTAGGATGGTGGCTTCGTCGTCATCGTCTCTCCTGCTGCTCGACGCCGCTCCACTTCGAGCCCCCGAGCTCGGCTATGAAGCCCATCGGTCGAGTAGGAACCAAATCACTCGGATTGTCACCTACCAACGTCCATTGCTTCAACCGTGTCATGTCGACAAGTCGAATGATCTCTTCAAGCCGACCAACGGGACAATGGATCGTCTCGTCCCTTGCGCCTGTGAACCCAAAGACTTGGCTGCAGCCTCGGCTCCGTCTACCGACCAGGCTGGCGGTGGAATACGTCGACGTACCTCGTACAACATCATGATTATCGGCGGCAAGGCAGCTGCTGAATCCCAGTCGACGCAAAGCAGCATGGCACAAACGGAGTCGAATCGAAATGCTGAACTTCGAGTTCGCGTGAAAGACTTACGATCAGCCAACGCAAGATTAAATCGGTCCATTATGACGATCACAAAACCGATGAGTCAAGACGTTCTCGGATCGGTGCTTGAGAGTGGTACCGTCTAGCCAGGCAGATCATCAGCCCTCCTTGTCATCGCGTAATCCCATCCAGTCTGCGATTTCTGTGTGAATACGGCCCTGATCTATTGTCTCGGAGCATGTAGTTAGCCAATAACAGACCAACTTGGGCACAATTTCCGGCCTAATGACGTGAAATTCGAAGGCATAGACGACGAACTTTAGTGCAGATTTTGGCAAAAACACGTATAGCCTTGCTTCATGGTGACCTCAGACGAAACAAGGTCATCTTCAACCCCACGACTAATTAAGCAGCAATGCATGTCTCTTCGGACAGCCCCGACCAGACCGAGTTAATGGGGGTTTTATACTTTCTTCTAGTCCACGTGTCCTCCAGCCCCGATAGGCCAACAGACGCTTGCCCGAGTAAATCTGGTTTTGATCTTGCTCCGATCCCTTTTTCTTTTCATTCCTTTTCACATTTTGCATGAGCTGTACCTCGCATTTCTTCTCAGTTGCACTTTGCCTTGTCGTCAGACCTCTGACAGCATAGAGAACTGCGCTTCTAGACTTCTGGAAAAGGGTGCGCTTGTCGCGGATGCTGTTCTGTATCATTCTCCATCCTCCATCACCGTAGGCCATCAGCTGTACAACGAGCTGGATGCACATGACCTCGGCTAATCTGGGAGACCTCGAATGCAAGCGCACACGAGCGCCGGTTTCGCCAAATGCCGCACGACTTGAATGACTCGTCTTCAAGTTGTACTATGAAAAATGCTTTTTCCTCTTATCCACTTGTATGCCCGCGAATTTTGCTCTCCCGTCTTCACGAGGGTAGCCGGCTTTTTTCCCTGATTCCGAATTTGCCACAAGACCTGTCATTTCAGGGTCGGATACGACATGTTTACGCTTCCCGGCTCTACAAGGGCGTTACTAAGCGGTGATCTATGCTTCCCACTCAGAAGCGCATACCATCATTCGATATGACGAATGGCCATATTTTATCCTTTTGCTTTCCAGCGCTTTTCTCGCAAAAGTCCCCGAAAGGAAGGAACATTTGTGAAGACTCATCAACTTGTCTTTCCTTAGCTTTCAGGCCGTTTGAATCTCGCCTCCGCCCAAGCAACTATGCAACAGACCACGCCGCAATTCTGCCAAACTTTTTGTTTCGCCATCCAATGCCAAATAAGCTCTTCGCTCTTCATTGTACACACTCCATTAAGGGGCTATTTTGCCGAATTTTACTACAACCCCATAGACTGTGTAGAAACAGCTAGCCCTTGAACTTATACATGGTTTTCCCTGCCTTTCATGAACATTCGTGATCACTCTAACCTTCTTCGAGTAGGCATGTATTTACCTAACGTCATTTCCTACTTCCAAAGCCCCTTGCCCTCAATTATGATGCTCAGACAGCAGCTTTTCTATTCTTTTTTTGATTTCTACCACCCTCCACCCAGTTACTAAAGAGCCCTATGCCACATATACAGATGCATTTGGCATTATATTCTCCAGAATATAGTATCAATCTCTGCCACTTCTAAGGCGCTTCCTGAAGAAGGAAGTATCGCACTTTTTGCTCACTGTACCAGCTCTATCCACTTACTTTGAACAACCAAATGCATGTTATCAATTCACCCAATCCTCATGGCCTTAGCCAAACCGTCTTAGCAATAGACTGATTTTGTGTTTTTTATAGTTGATTTTATTTGTAATTTAAACTCCCCTACCGGATTCGGTACCTGTCACAGTTTATGACAGCTGATGTTTCACACTTTTCTGCCTTTTACCAAGTCAGAAGTGTTTCGCCCCTCTTCACTTACCCTCGCATATTGTGTTATAGCCCTTTTTATAGTTTATATCGAAGCTTAGCTACAAAAAATGAACATTTTCCACCAACGGCATCCAGTATGAATTTAATGAACCAACTTTACGGATAAAGTATCAACACAGGTTCACATGGAAATTGGAGTCTTAACTGGAGGATAAATCAACTTTCGGCAGTATGCAGACCCGAATACTTTTGTCTGAATGGAATTCCCAAACTTCCATAAATGAGGCTTCATTCTTTCGCGTCCCCTTTTTGAATTGCCCGATCTGTATAGTTGCTACTTCCAAATAAAGCATTATCTATCGTCAAAATACATTAATTCTGTCCTAGGGAAAACAACTAGTAGGCGTGTAACGTATAGTTTACTTTACCCTTTGCCCTATTCTTCCCATTACTACTGACAAGTAAGATAAACCACCAACATACATTCAACAAACTTTGAGATTCTTATAAGAACCCGAGTCAGCTAAAATTATTTACAACCATATACAAAAGGATAGTTGAATTTTCTAGGGATTCATGAGGCCCTTGAATTTTATCTTTTGCTCATTCAAAATCGACAAATAGCTTCAGAGACTACTTGTCTGTTATAAAGTAGTGCGCCTGATCGTAATAGCAAAAAGAAGTTCGCTTTCTCCATAACGAACCTAATACAAAAAGAAAACTGGAAAGACGACTGGCTCTTCCTGAAATTCAGGTCTGTTCTCTGCTCGAATGGTGTGGTAAAGCTGCAACCTGACATGTAAGGACCCTTCTTCGAAGTCTGTTGGACTTGCTGACGATCATTATGAGAGAGGATTAATGAGATTAAGACTGGATAAGATATTCTGTCCGGAGACAAGACTAAATAAAACTGACTGGTATATTTAGGCCTTATACTCTGTTCACTGAGGGAGATTCAACTATTATTCCCTCCCCCCCATTAAGCAATCTAGGCTCACGCGAGCTCTTTTTCAAGATCCACCCAAGTGGCCTATGTTCGATTCAAGTGCCAATAGATCAGCATTAATGATGTATGAGTCTATTAGTAGAGATTAATTAAAATAGAATGGAAATTTTTAAATTGGATTTTTTTACTGCTTACAAAAGATTTGGCGTAAAGCCGAAAAGAAATCCGAAAACTTTGACATGTTGCAAACCCCTTCAAAAAAGACATCACAACGAGCATAAGCCTAGGCAAAAGGGACAGGATAAACATTCTGAAGGGTTAGGATGACCTGAGCGGAAGTGTGCTTTGGGGATATAAGAGAGTATGAATATACGGAATGAAATTGCGTCTTTGGACGTTAGACAGGATTCAAGAGCCAACTCTGAGTTTAATTTAGGTTTTGCTGAGTTCATGTGAATACAAATAGCAGCTTTTTTCTATAAGCTTTGAATGCACATTTGGTTCCAAACTTCCAGCATGAATGGCGCCTAAATAAGAAACATATGAAGTTATTTTGCATTTTATTCAAGCCATT